GCTAGTGTCGAGCCTTGCATATATATATATATATATAAGGTCGCTTATGTGTCGGATAGATCGATTAAAGTAACTATTTATTTCGTTTTTATGCATGTAATTATAGATCTATAAATAATACAAAATCCATCATTTTTCCATCCATCCATGCGTTGACTTTTTCGACCCACCGAGTTTTCTACGACCTGACTCTGCTATGGGCCGAATTGGTATGGGCTGAGACTGTATGGGCCGACTCTGTGGTGGGCCAGGTGGACCCTGAATCGTATAGAGCATGGTAAACACTTGGCAGAGAGCTCAAATAGTGACTAGGCTCCCATAATCTACTGATCGGGTTCACCATCGCATCAGTTCATACATCGTTGTAGAAATTAAAACAATTAACAAAACAAGAATTACGATAGTGCCACTTTTTCCTCTACTACCATACGCATTTGTATGCTTGCGTTTGCATTAAAACCATTGTCAGGTAAATATTACTAGAGTTCACGCATATTAAAATTATAATTAATTGAGTTGATATGTAACATAGATAATAATAATTATTATTGATAATTAATTTACTTTGGCTTGAACATTATCTGTGAGTTCCATGTTATTATTTATATACATTTAAACTCTTTTGATTGCCTAAGCTTGGCAGTATCATGCTATACCACATTGACAATGTACAACTGAATTTACTGCACAACAGTTACATCCATGAAGATTATGCCATGATGGTTCTCTTGCAAACCAGTCGTAGACACGTGTCTTTCCATCAATGTGAGGGTAACAACTTCGTTTGTGCATATGCCTGTAGCTTCCCCCATACAAAGACCATTGTAGAACCAAAGAAATGCAGTTACGAAGACCTTGTGCTATGCCGAATGTATCCACTTAACTGGTTTCATTAAAAGCCAGATAACACTAACAGTGAATTCAGTCACGTACATTGACTTGTATGCCAAGCATTTTACAGCCCGACTAGGCAGCGGGAATAATGATGCTGTGGCTGATTAACACTAGAGCCCACTTCATCATATCTCTCCTAGTACTATTTAGTAAAACCTCAGTGAACGACACGATAGTAACGTCGTGCGACACTGGCTGTTTTGCGCAGGGCTGCAGCGGACCCGCAGCGATGATGTCCGCGTGCCCACAGACGGAGGGATGCAGCCACGACGCTGAGCGCGGTATTCCCTCGCCGCTCGCCGAGGCACTACAGGGCCTGAGCCATGACGCACTACGCACCAGCATCTACTTCAGGTTTGTCCCCCTCTCCCCACAGACCACAAGCCAGGAAAACAGAATCAGGGAGTCTCACTATTTGAGCGAAGCGAGGATGCTGCGGGCGCGAAGCACCCTAGGGGGGAGGGCCTTACCGTAAAATAGAGAAAATTTAGTGTGAAATGCCAAAAAGACAGGAATCTTATATGATTTTATATTCTTATAAGCACTGTTGTCAGTTATACAAGGTGTATAATATATAATTGGGCCGCCCTCATGTCGTCTCTATCAAATTTCGTCCATCTCATGATCTCGTTCAAGAATAGGCCATGCAAAAGACTGGTAGATGGGTCTCTGGCTAACACACTGCCACACGCACATGCTAGAACCGACCTGTAGGTGTTTTTGGCTCATCTGACGAAGTCAGATGCAGCTTGTAGAATCGCATGATCGTCCGTCCGTCCGTGGGAGCGTCCGTCCGTCCGTGGGAGCGTCCGTCCGTCCGTTCGTCCGTCCGTCAACAGTTGGGCACAAATCTTAACCGCTTGACGTATGGTCACGATATTCGGGACATGGGGGGTAATCCAAAAACGAGTTGGGATGTCAAAGCTGGGGGTCAAAGGTCAAAGGTCAAGAGCTGTAAAAGAAGGGGGAACATTCCCTCCTTAACTTAAAATTATAGCGGGAGGAAATGCTTTTTTTACAGAATTGCCGGGGCAAAAATATAAACGGGCTCACCCTAGGCTCGTGATATCGGCTTGATATCAGCAATCATGGTAGGAAAAGCCATCACTGTGCCGAAATTGGAGGTTACAGGTCAAAGGTCAATGGGGCACAAGGCAGATTTTAGACATTTTCTGAGGACATGGTCTGACGGAGCGATTGAAAAACTTTTTTGTTTCAGCGGTGACCTAGCATTTTTTATGGCTTAATTGAAAGAACCATGAAATGTACTTTCTGCTGACATGCGAAGAGTAAGTGTCGGATAACCTTTTGGCTCTCAAGAGGAAGGTTAAACATGGAAAACACACTGACAGTACAGAATGCCATAGAAATTATACGATTTAAGGAGCATAAACCTTCTTCAAGCAAATTCAGCTTTTGAAATTTCACTGTGACATTGTAGCCTCATACATCCAGGCATGTATAGATTCTACTAGCAAACCCGGCAGTCAAATTCTTTCTAACAGTAAACAAAACATGTAACGTATGCCACTGCCAGTGCATGTGGTGGTGATAGTACTGTGTAGTTTTTGCCTGCGTTAATTAGTTACAGGTGGCAGCTCTCTATTTCAGCCTGTAGGCTTGCGTAGGTAAATGGATGAGTGCTTACCTATTCTGTCTTGCAAATAGTTGTTGCTACTACATACGATGGGAGCTTCCATCTTTAATCTGAAGACACTTAAACGTACGCGCCATCTCATGGCAACTTTCATAACGATTCCAACGAACATTCTTTTGAGAAGGTTCCTGATACCATTCCTGTGCCTTCCACTGTTTTCGGCGTGTATGTGAACACATTTGGGACTAACAGGGTTTACTAGAATCCCACCACTCCACCACAGAGTCACCGCAGTAGATGTTAGATGAGCGCTGTCGCTCCGCGGCACTTGTTATTTGTTTATTTGATGGTTGTGGAGATGTCTTTTCCACTGGTAATTATCAATGCATTCTATAAACAGCTCAGGGTTAGAAATTAACTTTTGAACAAGGGTCTGCCCTCAAAAAGAGAGAGTCCGCAGCAAAATGAGGGAGTCCGCAGTCTGAAGTTCAAAACTAAAGATATTGACAATAACGCGTGTGCTTATTTTGAAGATTCATGCGGTTGCACGTCTGCCAAAATGTCTTTGGACATTTGCTGAAAAAATACGGCAATTCCGCGAGGCCGTGCTCTGGAACGTTTTATAGCAGAATTTTCAGGGAGTCACACGGACTCCTACATATGTCAAATCAGGGAGTCCGACAGAAAATCAGGGAGTATTTGACTCTGGACTCGCGTTAATTTCGCACCCTGAACAGTGTGTATGTAATGATAATGTGAGGCAAGATAACTACCTAGGATAAATACATGTGAAGTATGTATCAAGCACACGTATTTACGTTGTGGTTCTTGTTGGCGCATGCACGGAAATGGCAGATGCATTAAAATGGATAAACCTAGCAACAAAAAGCCTATATATAGACCTACTGTGAGCATAATTGCACTTGCAGTGTGCAAACTGCAAACATCACGAAATGTTCTCATTGAGCCAGAAAAGATGCTCCGAAGTTGACTATTTTGAAAATATGTCGGACGCGGTTTTGTTACACAGCCAGCAGTAGCCCTACGCTAGCGCAAGTAGTTCCTGGAACGAAAACACTATATTTGTTTCCTGATTGCATGAGTAATATAAATAACGATATATGATTTAAACAAATTTCACATTTTTGTACTGAATAAACATCGAATAATGAATTAGTTATAACTTGTTTTATCATAGAAATGAACTATTAATGGATCGAGCCGATCACTCCACTGTGTCCCGGATGTGTAAATATCACTGTGGTGCTACGTTCGTAAGAGAAGTAATTTCGTGTAGATTTTGAGAAGAAATGTTATGAAAGTAGCAATACAAATGAGTTGTACATAGTGAATTTTTGCAACATATGCAAGCTCACAGTAGGTATACATATATATCAGGAGTAGATAATACTAATAGGGAATTCCCTATTATTTACTCCTGATATATATATATGCATTTAGCTGCGAGGTTGATCAACTTTATGCACCGCCACAAATCGTTACCGAATGCTAGATAATCGAGGGTTAGGTTACCGCATTTCGTTGGTGCATGGCAAGCACAAAGATTGTATTCTGCCAAAATGTCACACTCGTGGAAAATCGAAGTTTTGTGTCCTGGAAAGCTCAGGACAAACTGGAGTAGAAATGTTTTTGTTCTAGGTGTATAACTCTGCTGATCTATGTGTGGAAATTAATCAAATCATGTTTAAATCTATGTGACCACGAGCACTGACGCAGGCAGCCATATGTTAACTCTTTCCCCCTCACATGCATGTTGCAGGCCGGCTGTACGCTATATGTGTGCGTGTGGTCGTGTTGGAGGCAGCTCTACATGTGTGTGCGTGTGGTGGTGTTGGAGGTAGCTCTACATGTGTGTGCATGTTCTGTTGGAAGGTATCTGCTACATGTGTGCGGCTGTCGTGTTGGACCGTAGCTCTACATTGTGTGGCGTGTGTCGTTTGCAGGTAGCATCACATTGGTGCGTTGTCGTGCTTGAGGTAGCCTCTAATGTGTCACTGCGTCTGCGTGTGGAGTAGCTCTACATCTGCGGCGTGTGGTCTGTTTGGAGTAGCTCTACATGTGTGTGCGTTGTCTGCTTGCGACGGTTGAGCTCTACATGTGCTGTGGACTTGCGCTCGTTGCAGGTAGCTCTACGCTATGTGTGTTGCGTTGTCGTTGGATAGCTCTACCATGTGTGTCATGTGGTGTTGGACGTAGCTCTTACATGTGGCGGCGTTGTGGTCGTGTGGCAGGTAGCTCTACATGTGGTGCGATGTTGTCGAGAGCTCATACATTATAGTGCTGTGTCGGGGAGTAGCTCTACATGTGTGCGTTGTCGGTGGAGGTAGCTCTACATGTGTAGTGCTGCATGTTTCTGGCGTTTTGGGGGGGGAGCGTACGTCTACATCTGTGTGCGTGTGTCGTTGGCCACCGTAGCTCTTACATGTGTGTGCATGTCGTCGTTTGGAGTAGCCCTCTACATGTGTGTGCGTCGTGGCTCGTGTTGGAGCGCGTAGCCTACATGTTGTGGCTGTGGTCGTCTGAGGCAGCTCTAATGTTTGACTGTGGTCGTGTTGGAGGCAGCTCTACATGTCGTCGCTGCTGTGTCTTGCTTGGAGTTAGCTCTTACATGTGTGTGCGTGTGAACTCCGTTTGCACGTAGCTACACATGTAATGTGTGCATGTGGTCGTGTTGCAGGCAGCTCTACATGCTGTGGTGTTCGTTGTCGTGTGAGGCCAGCTCTACATGTGTGTGCGGTGCTCACGACGGTTGGAGCCGTAGCCTCTACATTGGTGTGCAGTGGTCGGTTGGAGGTAGCTCTACATGTGTGTGTGTGTGTCCGTCGCTCGTTGGAGGCAGCCTCTACATGTGTGTGCCGTGTGTCGTGTTGAGCTACTCTACATGGTGTGCATGTGCCTCGTGTGCAGGTAGCCCTCTACACTGGTGCTGCGTGTGGTGTTTGGAGGTTAGCGTTACATGTGTGTGCTGTGTCGCGTGAGGTACTCTTAACATGTGTGTGCGTTGCGTCGTGTTGGAGGCAGCCTTCTACATTGTTGCGTGGGTCTGCTGCAGTAGCTCTACATGTGCTGTGTGCATGTGTGGGGGGCAGTATGCTCTCATTGTGTGTGCATGTGGTCGTCTTTGGAGGCAGCTCTACAGGGTTGCGTGTGTCGCTGTGGCAGGCTAGCTCTACATGTTGCGTGTGCGTCGTTGTTGGACAGCAGCTCTACAGGGCTGTTGTGTGACGTGCTCCGTGCTTGGAGGTAGCTCTACATGTGTGTGCGTGTGGTCGTGTTGGAGGTAGCTCTACATGTGTGTGCGTGTGGTCGTGTTGGAGGTAGCTCTACATGTGTGTGCGTGTGGTCGTGTTGCAGGTAGCTCTACATGTGTGTGCGTGTGGTCGTGTTGCAGGCAGCCGGACGGCGGCGTGCAGGTGAAGGAGGAGCCGATCGACGCATACGAATTCGTCGACGATCCGCCGCTGAGCGCGTCTGCCGAGAATGGCATGCTGGGAAGGTCACCGCGGAAGCGTGGCCGGCCGAAGGGTTCGGTGAATAAGCCGAAGAGTGAGACACTGCCTCGCGTGAAGATAAAACAGGAGCATGAGATGGTCAGCAGGTGAGAGAGAGAGAGGGCGAGAGAGAGACAGAGAGACAGAGAGAGAGAGAGGGGGGGAGAGGAGGGCGAGAGAGAGAGAGGAGGGCAAGAGAAAGAGAGAACGAGAGAGGTGAGAGAGAGAGAGAGAAAGAGAACGAGAGAAGTGTGTGTGTGTGAGAGAGAGTGAGAGAGACAGGGAACGAGAGAGGTGCGAAAGAGGTGAGAGAAAGAGAGAGAGAGGAGAGTGTTCAGAGCGTGGTTTTTTAGTTTAAAGGTTTAACGATCTGTAATGTAACACTACCCGCTCTCTGTCTCTCCTGTCGTGTGCGCAGCAATGGGCAGGAGCACGCCATGATGCAGGTGGCGCCACCGCTCTGCATTCCGCCGCTGCACCTTGTCAAGCAGGAAGAGGGCGCCAGCAGCGGCGGGCAGAAAAAGATCACGGATGCATTCAAGGTGCGCAAGAAGCGCGACCGCTTCGACGGCATCCCGGAGTCCGAGATTGAGAAACGACTACTGCCCGACCACATCACTGACAACCTCGACATACTCATCGTGAGTGCACCCCTCTAGAGCCCCATAACAAAGCCCTCTTCAGGAGTTCTATCCCAAGAGCCATCCACAGCCCCAACTGGTGTCTGAATTCTTGTTAATGCTGTAAATGTTGATGACATCCCAACTCTAAAATGTCATAACTTTTGAAGTGAAGTGCGTGCGGGAGGTACGACATTTTACGATGAGACAGGTATTTGTGATGTTTTGGGCGACGATGGGTCACTGAGCCCCTTCAGAGCTCCATTCTGAACTTATTCCGGAGCACTGGCTGGAACTCCATCTCGAGTTTCATCCAGACACCTATACAGAGGGAGCCCTGGCCAGAACACCATCCAGAGTTGTCCTGTGCTTCCCTGGCCATCCCTGTGTCATTATCATACAATTAACACATGTGCAGTGTTTGATATCAGGTTTGCTGTGCACAGGCAATTTGCAGCCTCTGTTATTTCTGTTATTTGCCGATATAGTTATTGCTATAACTACGGCATAGTTTGAGTTTGTGATTAAGAATTTCTTGTCGAGTTCTCTGCTTGGATAGCCCTGGCACCCTTATTATTATAGAGTGCTGTTAAAGGAAGTATTTCATAAATTACTGCACAATCAGGAAAAATTATTACAGCGAAATATTGTTTCACCTAATAGCAACATGTTACTGATTACCCCAGTATAAAAATTACCATGAGTTTATGCTGTTATGGTATATAAAATAGCAAATAATGCAGCCACATTCTTTTGCATAGCGGGAATTCGGCAACCAGCAGACAAAAGTGCATCTCATTGAGTAACATAGTTGTGTTAGCCTGGTACAACATCTCTATTGCTTAATTCAAGTTACCATGGCAAAGTACAGGGACGGGGTCTCAGGAGAAACAAGTGGCATCATTTAGTAACCGCGTCAACACGACGTAAACAAACAGATTTCAATCATATAGTTTTGTGAAAATAACAGTATATTCATGAGTGTTCTAAGACACTCACTTTATTGCCTTACTTTAGACACTTGCTGTTATAAATATTATGCGAGCAATACCAGTAAGTACTGTAGTGGTCGGAAAACTATGGTCAGGAAGACTGTTTGAAATCCTGGTTTTTAGCTCACCTTGACATCGTCAAGCTGAGCTATTGCCATGGGTCGTCGTCCGTCGTACGTCCGTCTGTCCGTCCGTCAACATTTGGCTATGGTCAACGATAACTCAGGAACCGTTTGACCCACATGTTTGAAATTGGGTATATTTGTTACTGCTATGCTCCCATATTGAACGTCCTTTTTTGGTGCACGCCAGTCGACGTTCTTTCGAGCCACGGAAATTTTTTGGCAAAAATGGGAATTGCCATTAGTCAGTTCAGGTTGAACGGATTTTGCTCATTTCTGGTATGTGAATGAATAAGGGCTAGGGGTTTTGATATTTAAAAAAAAATTATGGAAATTAGGTAGGTTTTGGCAATTATATAGCATATTATAAAATAGACTTGCAGATAACAGTCTGTGGTGTCACACTCGTCTGGTTCGTTTTACAAGATTTCATTGACAATATCTTTAATGCAAAATTGGTATTTCCTCTCCACCCTGCCGATAAAACGAATATATTAGAGTAAAGTTTTACAAAACATGTCGGAACGCAGCATAACCTATTTATTTCGAACGCCATCGCTAAGAAACATCAAAGCGGGCATAGCGCCATCTACCATCACAAATTGTGATTCATTTTGGTTTATAAATTATTATTGCGATATACAGATGGCAACCGTGTGCTACCGCCTAGAAAAACTCATACGAAGTAAACACTTCCATGCAACTAATTAACCTTTGACAAAAGTTGTGTTATGGGCAGGGAAACGCCATTGTCACGTGGTATATAGCAGCTACGTGGAATAAGTGTATCCTATCAATCTTACACGTTACACATCGGGAGCTCCGCTTTTAGGCAGTGCCTAAATCTGAATATTATAAAAACGTTAAATGGCGATTATTTAGGTGTAACGCTATCACTCGCCCTCATCTCAGACTTTCACATCTCAAACATTTATTTTCACATAAAAAATTACACATATACGTCTGCGCCGCTCCTCACGCATCCGAGCCCCATCAGCAGCCCCCTCTGCCGCGCCCAGAGTGGTGCCGCTGGTGCGAGCATGTAGCACAGGAGATTCTCGAGCTTGCTGCGAGGATGAGGCACCTCATGCTTGCGAAACGCGTCTGGGTCGAGCAGTCCCAGGTCCCGCAAGCGTGTTCCTGCAGGCCTCAAGCGGACCAAGACGTGCCAGCTGGCCCATCCGCAGGCACCGTAGCCGGCCATGCAACGGCAATGTAGCGGATCGCGGCAGCAGCAGGTGTGCAGCGGTTGTGCAGGCGGCGGTGGGGTAACAGGTGGGTCGACCAACGCGAGAGGCCGTGGTGACGCAGGGCTGTCGGCGGTACCGTGGCAGCGGAGACAAAGAGTGACATTGTTACTGCGTTTCAAGGTACGACTGGCTGTGTCGATGCCAAATGACAACAATAACACAATGACTGATGCCCTTGAAACACGACGCCCAAAAGACATAACATACCAGAATAAAATAAGAAGGAGAGAGAGATAAAGAGAAGGGGGAGAGACAAGACCAGTGCAGAAAAAGGAAGATGATGAGAAGCCATCTTACCGGGTGTGTGTACAGACTTGCGGGTACCCCTTGGCTGCGCTGCTGCTGCATGCTGGGCTGCCTCTCGATTCGCTCTTTGGCTCAATCGTCTGAGCTTTTTACGCGCCGCATTCCTCTTCGCTTTGATGCGCTCCTGCGCGGCTGATTCGTCGCTCCTATCGTGAGTCGGGCTTCATCAGCCGGCACCTCCTCGTTTGATCTTCATGCCTCCCTCAGAATCCATCATCCTCAGGTCATGGTAATGGTGTGCTACAGAGCAACACCTCACACGCACGACGACGTAACAGCACCGTACCCCACAAACTCACATATACCCCCACATAGAACACACGCAGTACTCGGCACACACGAGGTCACGCATGCACAAACACGCAACGTGACCCACACGTGTATCATAATAAATACCCATGGCAAGGCTCGACACTAAGCGGTGGCGCCGGTGGGCCCGTGTGGCCCGGGCCAGCCGGCGCCGCCGGGCCCGCGCGGGGCGCGCGCGCGGCGCGCGGCGGCGCCGCGCCCGCCCGCCGGGGCGCGCCGGGGACCCGCGCCCGCGGGGCGGGCGGGCGGCCGGCGCGCGCGGGCGCCCCGGGCCGGCGGCGCCGCCGGGAGCCGGCCCGCGCCCGGCGGCGGGCGCGTCGGCGCGCCCCCCGCGCCCGGCGCGGGGCCGGCGGGCGCGGGCGGGCGCAGAGAGACCGCCCGGCCCGCAAAGCTTGATGTCGGGCCACCAAAATTTCAAGAAGTTAAGAAATTTGGTGGGCGCCGAACGGGCACTAAAATTTCAAAGTGTCTATGTGATAAAAAATAAATTGTTTCTACGTGGCTAATCGTACAATTCAAAGAGAGAGCGAGCAATTCGCGGAGCGAGGGCAACACAGGTACGCACGTGCAGCATTCGTTAGCTGCGTGCATACACGGGCGACGGTTTTAACTCCTCTACATCGGTCGGCTAGCGAACAAGCCCACGTTAATAGTGTTTAGACCGGTATACGGCCGCTACGCTCTGCTAGACAATCGTACACGCTCTGCGAGCGAAACAGTTCGGCCGCGAACCAGTCTAGGCCAAGAGGTCAAAATCTGAAGCGGGCGCAGGCACATGAGCATATTTGGGCAAGCGCCAGGCATACATGTGATTACATTGTATCAAAGCGAACCAGACAATGGCGTCTAGACAATACCCTGTCTGCAGTGTAACTGTGGGGCGTATAGTAAAATGAACGCGAGCGATGAGAAGTTTCGAAAGGCCAAACAATTGTCATAATAAAAAAATGATGAAATTTTTCCTTATGTTTGATGGTATTTTGTTCAAAATGTTAAAAATACGGGACAGCAGCATCGCGTCCCGGAAAGGGTCGGTACGGGACGCGGGACACATAGGGCAAAATACGGGACGTCGTGGTCACCTGCATTGCTAGCTAGCAGCTGCACTGGTGCACAGCTGTTCGGATCCCAAGCGAAACTGCAGCGTTCGAAAGTTGCGCGTAGAATAAACTGAAGCTATTCATGAAAGATCGATCAGTATTTGTTGGAATCCGGAAGTGTACGATATTAAGTAGAGCTTGTAAGATTTATTATAATGAAGTTTTCTCTGCGCGGTGGAGCGAGAGCGAAATAATTTGAACTTAGTCTTAGACATGGCTGCCTTTTTCTTTGTTAAATGTGCATGGGTAGCCGCAGGCTACCTTGTTGATGATAAGATTATGGTTCTGAGCTTTATCTTATTAAAAGTCACTGGCAATATTTTATTTTTAAGCAGTTTCAACAGCCTGCCAAGACATTTTAACTTCATGAGATTAATTTGTATAGTGTTTATTTTAACATGAAAAACCAATGGTGTTGTTGTTTATATTGACAGTGTACTTGTATTAAATATTTGCATGCTCTGGTGACTTTGATCTCTTGAAACGTCTGAACTAGATCGAAGCATGTGCACGCGCGTGGTTATAGAATAAAGCAATGCCGAGTGAAGAGTAGAAAATGGTATGAGATTCTGGTAAAATATTTGATGCCCGTGAATGATAATTCCCAAGTACCTGCATCATCAATGATCAGAGTGTGCCATTCTTGCTGTGGGGTTGTTAAAGACTTGTGCAATGCATCAGACACGGCAACATTGTTCAATATTAATATACAATACGAGATGAAATAAAGATTTATAATTTTTTCTTTGTTTTTTTGCGGCCACCAGATTCATTTCGGGCCCACCAAAAAAAATTGAAAAATCAAATGATTTTGGTGCCCGAGTCGAGGCCACTGGAAAAAAAAAGTTAGCTGTCTGAGCCTTGCCAATGGGATATACAACACAGTAACATCGGTGAATCACTGACCCACTACACGAGCACCCCACCCTCCAGTCCTCCTTA